AGATTAGACCTCACACTTTGCTCTAACTCATTATCGTTGGATTGCACGTGGAATGTGATCCAAGATCCCCACGGTAGTGATCACTTGCCGATCAAAGTTTCAGTTGCCAGTGGGTTCAATCCGTCGGAACCCGCGATTGGACAAAGTTCAAGAATGTGATAGAAGATGCCCTAACGTCGGTAGAAGGTCTTCCACCGTTGGAGGAATATAACTTCCTCTCCAATCTGATCTTGAACAGCGCGCTTCAAGCTCAAACTCGGCCGGTTCCAGGAACGTCTTTCCGTAGGAAACCTCCTTCCCCGTGGTGGGACCAGCAATGCACTGAGGTTTATCGTAAAAAGTCCGACGCGTTTAAGCTTTTCCGGAAACGTGGAACACCCGTACATTTCGAAGCGTACTCGGCTCTTGAACGCGAACTCAAGAGCCTCATCAAAGCCAAGAAACGCGGATACTGGCGGCAATTCGTGGACGGATTATCGCGCGAAACGTCGATGAATACGCTTTGGAATGCGGCGCGAAGGATGCGTAACCGGTCTTCAAACAACGAGAGCGAGGAGTACTCCGATAGTTGGATTCTCAAGTTCGCGCGAAAAGTATGTCCTGATTCTGTGCCGGCACAGATGATTCCTCGCGAAACGACGAATTCGGTAGACGAGATCAGCCAGCCTTTTTCAATGCTGGAGCTCTCACTCGCGCTCCTTTCGTGTGGCAATTCGGCTCCGGGGGCTGATAGAATCAAGTTCAACTTGTTGAAGAACCTCCCAGACGTCGCTAAGAGGCGCATGTTGAACTTGTTTGGTCAGTTCCTGGAGCTTAATATTGTTCCGGATGATTGGAGGCGGGTGAGAGTTATAGCCATTAAAAAGCCTGGAAAACCCGCGTCAGATCACAACTCGTATCGTCCCATTGCGATGCTATCGTGTATTCGAAAATTGTTGGAGAAAATGATCCTTTTTCGCCTGGACAAATGGGTTGAGTTGAACCACCTACTCTCAGATACTCAATTTGGTTTCCGTAGGGGCAAGGGAACGAACGACTGTCTCGCGTTGCTTTCCACTGAAATTCAGTTGGCTTTTGCTAATAAAGAGCAAATGGCTTCTGTCTTCTTGGATATTAAGGGGGCTTTTGATTCAGTATCGGTTGAAGTCCTTTCAGACAAACTCCACGCTTGTGGCCTTTCTCCATTAATTAATAACTTTTTGTACAATTTGCTGTCAGAGAAACATATGAGCTTTTCTCATGGAAACTCTACAGCTTCACGATTTAGCTACATGGGTCTCCCCCAGGGCTCATGTTTAAGCCCCCTTCTGTAACTTTCTACGTCAGAGAAATTGACAATTGTCTAAGGGACAACTGCACGTTGAGACAACTTGCAGATGACGGAGTAGTGTCTATGACAGGACCCAGAGAGGCCGACCTGCAAGGACCCTTACAGGATACCTTAGACAATTTGTCTACTTGGGCTATCCAGCTAGGTATCGAATTCTCCACGGAGAAAACTGAGTTGGTCGTTTTTTCTAGGAAGCATAGCCCAGCACAACCAAAGCTTCAACTTTTGGGTAAACCGATCACTCATTCTATGTCCTTCAAATATCTTGGGGTCTGGTTCGATTCAAAATGCACCTGGAGATCCCACATTGAGTATCTGAAGCGGAAATGCCAACAAAGGATCAATTTTCTCCGAACAATTACCGGAACGTGGTGGGGAGCCCATCCGCAAGATCTTCTAACGTTGTACCGGACAACGATTTTATCGGTTTTAGAATACGGTAGTTTTTGCTTCCAGTTGGCGGCTAAAACGCACATCATCAAACTGGAACGGATCCAGTATCGCTGTCTTCGTATCGCGTTAGGATGCATGCACTCGACTCATACGATGAGTCTCGAAGTGTTAGCGGGCATGTTGCCACTCTCTGATCGGTTTTCGGAATTATCCCTCAGGCTCCTCACCCGTTGTGAAATTATGAACCCACTGGTGATTGCAAACTTTAAGAAGCTTCTTGAGCTAAACCCTCAAACTCGTTTTATGTCATTGTACTACGTGTACATAACACAGGATGTCAGCCCTTCGCAGCATAATCCCTATCGTGTTTGCTTCTCCGACTTCGACAGTTCTGTTCATTTCGATTTATCAATGACGCAAGAGATTCGCGGAATCCCAGAGCATCATCGTTCCATGATTGCTCCGTCAATTTTCGCTGCAAGGTTTGGCCAAGTTGATTCCGCAAGATCGTTCTTCACAGATGGATCACTAATAGAGGCGTCCGCTGGTTTTGGTATTTATAACGAATTTCATAGCGCCTCTCGAATGCTTCATGCTCCTTGTTCCGTATATGTTGCTGAACTGGCGGCAATACATTATACGATAGAAACGATCGCCTCACTTGCACCAGATCATTATTTTATTTTTACGGATAGTCTCAGTTCTGTCGAGGCTATTCGCTCCATGAGGCCGGTAAAGCACTCCTCGTATTTTCTCATGAAAATACGAGAGCTTCTAAGTGCTTTATCTTTAAGATCTTTTGTCATCACCTTTGCATGGGTCCCATCTCATTGCTCGATTGCGGGCAATGAGAAGGCGGACTCGCTTGCAAAGGTGGGCGCTATGGAAGGCGATATTTACGATCGACAAATCGCCTACGACGAATTTTTCTTCATTTATCGTCAACAGTCACTCGCCAGCTGGCAAAATAAATGGAGTGAAGGGAGTTTGGGACGATGGTTGTATTCAATTATCCCTAAGGTGTCGAAGTGTCCTTGGTTCAAAGGTTTGGAGGTGGGTCGAGACTTCATTCGTGTGATGTCTCGCCTCATGTCCAATCACTATTCACTAAGCACTCACTTGTTCCGTGTTGGGCTGGGGGACAGCAATCTCTGTGAATGTGGACAAGGTTACCAGGACGCAGATTACATTATTTGGTCATGTGCTGAGCACCGTGGAGTCAGATCCGAGTTGTACGATTCCCTTCGGGCTCGAGGTAGACAACCTAATGTTCCAGTTCGGGATATTTTGGCTAGACGCGATCTGGAGTTTATGCAACTCATATATGTTTTCTTGAAGAATATTAACCATAGATTGTAAGTTTGATTAACCTTGTGTTTAGTTTGTGTTTTGTATGTGTGTGTGTATTTTTTTTTGTAGATTTGTTTCTGTAATAATTGTATAATTACAGAGTTGATATAACGTCGATAGGATTAAGTATTTGTTTTAGAAATAGTGAAATTTTTGAATCATAAATCATATTCCAAATCTCCTTTTCCCTCTCCCGATCCAAACAATTGTCATCCACTAACCTCGAGAAGACCGCGAGTAATCGGTTCCAATCCTTTAATTTTAGATTTAAGACATTTATAATGTATAAAGAAAATGATAACTTGGCTCTGTAAAGTTTATTCGAATGAGCCTGTACAAATAAAGTAATTAACAAAAAAAATTGAAAAATTGTTGATTTGGGAATTAAGTTTATGTGTTATTAATCTAGTGAATATAATTGAATGGAACAACAACAATAATCGTGTAGTCCTACGTCAATAAAGCAGTTTTGCGCTGTACACAAACCCTATATTTTTTTAATGACTTCGATAATGTCAATAACATAATATGGCACACATCTCTTAAAATTAGCAGAATCATAATATTGAAGGGTGATATTTATCTTTCAAGCTGTGTGGCTTTCTACAAAAATTACATTTTTAACGAAAGAGATGATTAAACTTTGAAATAAAAGAAGTGAGTTCATAAAAGAGCCAATTTTAGGTAAAATTGAGGTAAAAACCATTATTTTAAATTAGCTGTCCTGTAATGAAAAATAACTTCCCCCCTAATATTATTACATGAAAATATTCATTAAAGCATGTTTAATTTTATAACGTAATTAGTTTAAAAAACTGGTTGCCCCAATTTGTAAAATATCCACCAGAATATCGTATGTTTTGAACACATAAACGCTCTTAACATGTTGCGTTTGTGAGGTAGCGTGTTGAAGTATTCTAGAAAGTTGCTTGTGTTGGTAAAGAAAAAAAAACTCTTTCAAACATAGTATGCCATGCAAAAATCAAATAAAAAAGTTATGGTTGAAAAAACGATTTGAAGGGACCTTCCTTAAAAAATACTTGATATATCAATGAAAACGACGATTTAAACCATTGATGTGTTCAGCAAAGTTTGTGGAAATGATAAGATCTAAAACTTTGTGGAACATTTTATTTTTCTTAACCGCATAAAAGAAAAGTTAGAAATTTTATTTTTTGTCCTAAGGGATTTAAATTATGGACGACCCCTTTATCAGATGCGCCTTTTTTTCAAATCTAAACTTGTCTGAAGACACCAACTTGATTAAACTGCATCTTTATGCACTTTTTTAGTTTTTACCTGAAAAACACCCTTCTGGACCACTGTGCAGTGGATTTTCTTCGTCCTACGGATGAGGGGAGAAAAAGCGAATTTGTTTGGAGCGCTTCCTTTGTTTTGAGAACAATGAGTGTAAATATTCACCCAATGCGCTCTAATAGGTTTTGTGTTGTAGCTTGTGAACTAACGCATCAACACAAACGTATTACAAATTTGTGCACGGTCAAATCATTGATTATACTGATGTTTTCTGCTCGATAGAACGGAAATAGACGATTACGATGAAGTAGCGCTCTACCCTATCATTCAGAAATTATCTTATTACTCTTCCCTACGTGCGGACTTGACCGATTTTGTCGGTATTTATTTAAGTAAGAAGGGTGATATCTCACCAGAGGTGGATACATTCAGGATTTCAAGTGACAACTACTATCGACTACAAACAATGCTTATTGGTGGCATTTGCTTATTGATGCCACCGTAGTTAACTCATTTTCAGCATACCAACATACTATATGCAGTTGAAGAGTGCTGTGGAGGCAGATTAAAGTAGGTAAGTCGCGCTACAATGCTGACGTGTTTAGATTTTGCTGCTGTTTTTCTTACGTAAAGTAAACAATGTAATACGTTTGATTATTGCGTGTGTTGCAAACCGAATGAAATCGCCCGGTAAAGGGCATAATGAGAGTGTGAGTGATAGCTCTACATAGAAAAATCATGGACCATCCAAACGCCCATTGCATTCCGCTTTTCGGCCATCAGCGTTCTTCGAGGTAAGAGGTGGTTCAGTATTCCTTATTGTATCAGCAACGGTGATTTGATTCCTTTCTAATAGTTATCTTCAAGTCTACGCAAACAATGTCTAAGTGCTTGACAGGTAGCGAACCTTGTGTTTACGGTTCGGACTTATAGCGAATTTGTACATTATTCACTTCCAACCTGGATCGGGTATCAAGATCGGCTCTTTTTGTTTTCTGACAAAAATCAGTTTGATCGTTTGATGTTTAAACCTACCTCAGGTTGGAGTTCGCACTGACAAAAAACTTGGTGTAATACTGCGTTGGAATTGGTTCCAACCTCGATAATACACAATTTTGCTATTAGATAAATTTGGCAAAATTTTCCAATGATAGTGTGATCAGAAATGGTACTAATGTGTGAGCGCGCGGAAAAATGCGCGCAAATTGAAAGTTATAGTTCTTAATCAATCCAACTGAACAGAGTTTTCAACGAGTTGATTGATTAATTATGATTAATATTTGTCAAAAGAATGTGGGTTTTCATATTCCGTGGCATTAGAATCATGGTGTCGTGGCAGTGAATATGGTGTACTTGTTTCAGGGAAAATCATTCGACGCAACTGACAGCCACAGCATGCTGTTAAAGCTGATAATCTGACGTCAAATGCAAATGTTTTCTGAATTGGCAATATGCATGTCGTATGGTGTGAGCAAATGGCTCTAATATTTAACAATTAAAATAAATCAATGCGCAATGAAGCCAATAATACAAATTTAACATTTCAGAGAGCTTACTTACGTGGACTTTAACTTTTGTGTATGGATATCTCGATATGAGTGTTTTTTTTTTCTCTAAAAATAAGCAGGATTGAAGCATGGAGGAAATTATCTTGTGGAAATTTGTCACAAGTGACAAAATCGCTGTTCACAATATGAATTAACATTAACATCTTGAAAGTGAGGTTTGATAATTCCGTACAGTTTCCATTCTTTAAAAAACTATCAGATAGAACTTTGACTATATGTTTTAGTATTACTTCTACGTGAAGTCAACGATTTACATAGTTGAAGATGCTAATTTCAAATAACAGACTGTAGTGGTAATTTTTATACGATAGATGGAGTAGATGAAAGCATAGAGTTGATAGTTCCGGAACTATCAACTCTATGCTTTCATCTACTCCATCTATCGTATAAAAATTACCACTACAGTCTGTTATTTGAAATTAGCATCTTCAGCTATATCAGATAGAAATCAAAATGTGTATTGATCAGGCTTGTACATGCTCCTTACAGCTAAAATGCTACTCTAAGAAATCATGAAATTGTGTGATATTATAATAATAATTTGAAGAAGAAGTAAAGTTTGTATATGCTACATAAAACCTGTCAATTTCGCTTCCAGAGTGTCACAATTAGCGATTAGCTATAACGAATAGTACTCACTCATCGCGATTACTCGTTACAGTAAAACTAGCTAATTGTTACCATCTAAAAGCAAAATTAACAGGTTTTATGTGTTATTCACAAACTTCACCTCCTTTTTTTGCATCATAAATATAAAAAAAAATATTATTATAATATCTCATAGATCCTTAATTTCAAAAAGTAACATTTTAGCTGTAATGATCATTTTCAAGCCTGGTACAGGTATACCTCAATATAACGTAACTGTCATTTTTTACTTCCATCGCCGATTTCTCGCAATCGATCTTTCAATCAAGCAAAAGAATAACAACATCGGCCAGATGAGACAATCCTTCATCTATTGATAATAGTGATTTGTATGATTGAATTGCCAATTTAGAGATATCGGCAATGGAAGCCAAAAGTGACAGTTACGTTACATCGAGGTATACCAATATTGATAAATATTATGCCACATGACAAGATGTTGCAGGTGGAAGGAGATTATTTGTTCCCACGAGTTTTGTGTAAATGTATCTACTGACAATTGCATTCCTCCGTGTTTGGCCCTACACAAGTAATCTGATCGTCATTTGATATCACAGGTATATCTTACACTGAATTTAAGCAGCAAAACAGCTAATACAGGCTTAAAATCTAAAATTAAAAAAAAGTGTAAGGGCCTGTTCATAAACTACGTAGACAGTTTTTTTTGGGATTCTTGACCCCCCCCCTCCCCCTGCGTAGACAATTGTCCATACAAAATTATTAAAATTTGTATAGGCCGTGGATAATTGCCAAACCCCCCCCCCCCCCTAAACTGTCTACGTAGTTTATGGACAGCCCTTTAACAGGTTAAAAAACAACGATGTGCAACCAAATGGTACTAGATTATGGCGACTAGGTTTAAGATAAACGTTAATATTTTGTTGTACAATTTTTGTCAGTTGTAAACTGTCCAATGGTTTTGAACATTGTACATTTTATTTTTTTTTAATTTCAAGGACGACATTATGCAAATTTTATAAGATACTAATTCAGTACCGAGTTTTAGTAAAAATGTGAACATTACCCATAACACACAATTACGCATAGTTGTAGCTGAGCAATCGAATCAGCCTCTGGTGGTGAATAGAAGAACCTTACATATAGTGTTGAGAACATTCATTAAGTTCTGTGTTGTCAGATTATTCTGCTAAGTCAGTGCAGAGATCCGGATAGTGTGTATGATTATTGTTAAAACACATTATTATATTTTTTTGGTATTTCTTGTGGAAAATTATAAAATCAGTAAATAGATCGTTGGCCGAAGGAAATACCCAGATTTAAAACATATCAAACGATTTGGTTGACTTTTTTTTATGTTCACTTGGTACATTCCACATTGATGGTCCATTCATAAATCCAACTTGCATGCTACTTACGTAATGTATCCTCATTTTTTGTTCGAGATCTAGATGTTGGGGAAAACGACCTCGCGACCTCTCACATTTAGTGAATTTAATTCCTAATATTGGGGAGTTTAACTCGATTCTCAACTGATTTTGTACTGACTGTTCCAGAATGGAGATCACCCTACTGCTTTTGTGGATAGTAGTTGGTTTGGCTGTGGTCGCGTATCTTGCTCATAAATGGAAATACAGGAGCATCAGGGTTATTCCCGGTGCCAAGCCCGATTACCTCTTGCTGGGAAATATACCGTTGTTATGGAAAAAAAAGAATGTCTACAAGAACATTTTCCGAACCGAATACCGCATGTCGAAAATATGGTTGGGCCCAGTGCCGGTCATCAACGTGCAACATCCTGAGCTGGTGCAGAAAGTGTTGACCGAATGTCTGGATAAACCATTCCCGTACGATTTTATGGAGCTCAAATTTGGATTGTTATCGCAACGACGTGAGTGCTGCTATCTTATTGTTTGATTCAACATTTTCTTATTGTGTTATTGTTTTGTTAATTTATTACTTTTAGGTAGCAGCGTATGGCGAGAGCATCGGAAAACGTTAAGTCCTCTTTTCAACTTAAAAATTCTGAACAGCTTCATCCCTGTATTTGAAAGAGCGACCAACGACATTATGGAGAGGCTGGAAAAGGTATCTGATAGAAGAGATATCGATATGTTTAAGTATACCAGTCATTGCATTGCCCAGATGGTTTATGGTACAATGGTGAACATTGAACATGATTCGGAGGAAGTCCAGCACATCATATATGAGTTAATTGCGAATTTGGAGATGTAAGTTGTTGCTTATCAAATTTGTTATTTGAGATATTTTCTATAAATGGAGCTATTTCCAGCTTTTAAAGTAAAAAAAGCAGGACAAATGCAAAGAAAACGGTTTTATTTAATCTTAACGTGATTTGATCTGGAGACTCTTGCCCTAATTTCACTTCGTATTTTTCGGAGTATAATTATCAGCTATTGGAAATCAAACAATAACAAAACTGCATTTGCAATGCAGCAAATATGGAGAAGCAAATGTCATGCCTTAAATCGTAATAGTGAGCGAGATTGACTCTCTAGCAAATTCGAAGTGGCAGTGCAAGTCAGCCATTCTGCCGATGATTTTGGACTTTGGACCATATCACTTTAAATGATGCATCGTTAAAAACTAGGTATGAGGATTGGAAAGCAGATAACAGTTTATTTTCTTTTGAATTCAATGGCAGATATTGATACAGAACATAATTATAGCACCACACAATTTATTTTTGCTCTCCAAAAAAGGTTATTTTTCGTATATCCTTTTAAATTTAGAATTTCTTAACGTACAATAAATCAAATTAGTAATAATTTTGCTCAATTGTGTTCAAAGTATGGATATTGTATATGCTTTCGATTTTTGTTGGTTAAATTCAGCACGAATAAGTGACATCTGTTTTATTTTCTTTTTGTATGACTATTTGTGGTTGTATAGCAACATAATTATATGATTCTGTGTTACTTGACCTGCCTTTTCACTTTGCGGATCATGCCATTTTTCAGATGATGAATCAAATTAAAAGCATGTAACTTATTCCGTGCTGAATAGATTTTACGAAAATTAATAACATCCATGTTATGACTGTGATGTAAGCTCATTTAATTTACTGTACTTCAAGACATTTCAGCATCATAAAGGATATACCAAAACGAGGCGTTTTACTAAAATTGCTTCAACTTTATGCAAATTCTGTCAATATTATAATTTTTTGATACTTAAAAAAACCAGCAATCAAGATAAAATAAAACTTGGTGTATATCCAGCAGAGTAACTGCTCTTTGAACTTTTTAAAAGAGAGAAAAATGCGAAATGATATACTTTTGTCCGTTGTTGTACCTATCAAAGATCTCATCGATAATATTGACCTGGTAATATCGATATTATCACTTTTATGCATTTCAGACCGTATTAGTTTTCTCAGCGAAAAATTATCCCTCTAATTTTTGTTTCGTTAAGGCCAGAAAAAATAGTAACCACACACTACGAAAAGGACATGTAAATTTCAGTACCCTGAGACCGACACATGCAAGCGGCCCTTTTGACATAAGAATCAGTTGAAAAGGACGAGAAAATAAATTCAATCAAACGCACTTTTCGTCGAGTTACATATGTTTCAGTTTCAGGACACTTAATTTTACATGCCATGTTTGTTTACGTTCCATGATTTACGTCAAAGATGAATTACGTCTCGTGTTAAAATAGTAATTTCTAAGTGTGCATTAATTTTAAAAGTTCAATTACCATAGATATGTCGGTTTAATATTCTATTGTTAAATGAAGCGTTTTAATACAGTCATGGGCATTTTCTATTTTTACAGGCCTTTGCGATAAAAACTCTAAGGGATTATTATTAGCGCAAGAGTCAAGTATGGTGCAAAATTCGCCATGCACTGCAGGAATACTTTTCGGAAGCTTCTTAAAAGATGATCTACAAATGATACATACTGGTTGAATGCTAATTTTAAACTGCTATCCAATTGAGATGAGCCAATTAAACCAGCTTTCGGACGTTAAATAAATAGGTAGATAAAGATGGTAGAAATTAAAGCTGAATGCCATTCAACTAAGTATATATGAAGAAAAAACTTACAATCATGGCGGAAGTGAACCCTAGTAGCACCCTTGTTATAAATTGGTCTTGGAAACTTATATACGACTTATTTCAGTTATAAACAAGTTGCTGCAACTTTTTGGGACATAATTGTGCTAATTGGGAAGAGTGGTCAATTTAGAAATCGGAAACAAGATATCAGCTCAATCTTGAGATCGGTATAATGTAATATTGGTAAAAATTAAGCATTTTGTGGTATGATCATAAGAAAAAAATCCCATAATTATTAAGAGGGGTTAATGTCTTGTTAAATCTAATAATAAGAAGATACTGCTTTATTCCAGCATTCTTCATTCTATAGCAAAACGAATCATGAATGGTGTGTACGCTCTGAAAATTTTGTATCAAATGAGTGCAATTTACCGAGAGGAATGGCGCGCCAGAGCGATATGCTACGATACGGTGAATTATGTAAGACACCAAAATGACAAGCAATAGTGTCCCAAAAAGATCAATTATGCTCGGTATCTATTTTCTAGGCCATCATGATAATGCGAATGAATATACTCAACAAGCCGAGCGCACCCGATGCAGCCGACACAAACGACCAATCGAAGTCGAAAGCCTTTGTCGAACGATTGCTTACCATTCAACATAAAGGGCGTAGCTTCACTGACGAGGAAATTATCAATCATGCTTACACGATGTTGGTTGCTGTGAGATACGATTTAAAAGTGATTTATTTTCGACTGTTTAAGTACAACAAATTGTGTTCCATTTCAGGGCTATGAAACATCAGCTTTGCAGCTGACGAATATCTGTATGATGCTAGCAATGCATCCGGAGATACAAGAAAAAATTGTCCATGAGATAAAGGCGGTATTTCCAACGCCAGACTCTGCAGTCACACCTGAAACGCTCAAAGATCTTCCATATCTGGACATGACAATAAACGAAACTATGCGGCTCTATCCAGTAGCAACGCTTATTGCGCGGCAAAGCTCCAGTTCTCTCGAATTGGATGGAGTGAATATTCCCAAGGGAACGTGCTTCATCGTGAACATTGGTGAAGTTCACCGGCGGAAGGATGTCTGGGGAGCGGATCCGCTTGAATTCAACCCAGAAAATTTTCTACCCGAGCGAGTCGCGAACCGACATCCGTACGCCTTCATTCCGCTCAGTGCTGGTCCCAGAAACTGTATCGGCTACCGTTATGCTATGATTTCACTCAAGATCTTTCTGATCCGGTTATTGCAGCAGTATCGATTGAGCACCAAATTAACTCGAAAAGATTTGAAGTTCAAATTTCAAGTCACTTTGAAGCTCAAAATACCATATACGGTGCAAATAGAAAAGCGGAATCTATATGAGGAGCGAGCAGGAGCTGGATTAAACATATGAGCTTCTGAGAACCACGCATATTTAATCAATAAAACATGAAATTCAAACTATTACTTTTAGTGATGACTTTTTTCCTTGATTTGTTTTCCGTCGAACTTGTTTTCCGTGCTGAGCACAAATGCTACCGACGCCAGGGAGGCAGCTCCCACACCTGGACCCTACCTATCGACCCATCGACTTATGAACCGGGGACCAACGGCTTTACTTCCCTTCCAAAGGAAGGCGTGATCAGAGATGTTATGCCTTAGAACATTCTGGCAGCGCCGACTAGAATTGAACCCAGGCCTGCTGGCATGAACATTTAAATAAAATTAAGTTAAGTGTTTTTGTTTGTGATTGAACCAGCTGTCAATTCCATCGATGACACGTTAAAGGATTGCTCCGTTCACTCACTGATATAAACTATATAGGATTCTGAAGTTGTCTTCTTGACTTGATGAAAACTGGAATGAAAATGATTCGAAGAACGATGTTTAGCTAATGTTAAAGATAAATAAACCAATGAGCCATTTATATTACGAACTTGTGTGATTAATGACCCTAGTGTTGACAACTTGTCGCATTGGTCTAGAAGAAACAATGGGTCTGTTACCGTACTTGCATTTTTGTTAGATTCTGTTAAAAAAAACCTAAAAGCAAGTTCCCGTACTTTCTGTAGCAAATGATTTTCTTCTTTCTTCTTCTTATTCGCATTTCAAGCTTATTGCTTAGCGCATATTAGCTTATTGCGTGCTCTCAACTTAGTGCACTTCCACAGTTATTAATTGAGAGCTTTCGATGCCAATACCAATGCATGAATTTGTATATTGTGTGTCAAGCACAATGATACTCTATGCCCAGGGAAGTCGAGAAAATTTCCAACCCGAAAGATTCCCTCGACCGGACCGAGAATCAAACCCGCCGCCTTCGGCTTGGTAATACCGTGCCTTTACTGACTAGGCTATGAGGCCTAGGAACTTTTAACAAACTGCAGCAACCAACAACAAGAGCAAAAAAGTAGATTCGGGAACAGACCTGATCTGTATTGGCAATCAGCTACAACCCAGATTACCTTTTAATACCAACCCTGTTTTGAAGTCCAGTGAATTATTTGCTTAGACTCGTGTTGATTAACTGCTTTGCATAATGTCCACAACAAATCAGCCGAACTGTGACTTTTTGACAACCAAATTGACAGGTTTTATATGTCAAACACATACTGAGACTAAAAGAGACTTACTTTGACTCAAGCAAGGCACCCAGTAGTGCGAGACTACTGAACTGAGTCACAGGGCTGGTATGCTACTGGGTCATTCGGAGGGGCACGTGGAGCAAGATGGGCGGAAATTGCGGAGTTCCTTAGATTCGGTGTCGAACGACGGCAAGTGCTCGCGTATGGTAATGACCGCGTGGCGGTTCGGTTATCTTGACAATCGCGACGGCACAATGGCGGATTACTGGTTGTTGGGGCACGTGGAATGACGTTTCGACTGCGATTCAGCCACTAGATTGATCGTAGCTTTAGCTATCGGCGTCGCCCTTGTTTGACGCAAAGGACCACTAACGACACCGTATTGGCCACGCCGAGAAGGATCCTCTTTGGCGGTTATACCTAATGTATTGCTTGTCACAAAATTATACACCCTCCCTCCCCCTTAGAACGTGACATAATATGTGCATCACTCCTTAGGGTCCAATGCCCGCGGTAACCCTGCCCAAAAAGGTCTTTGAATGGTGATTAGAGATGATGTCCTTGACTGTGTCTTAAACCAGTTTCCCAATTTAAACCGACTCGCGTGGAAGTGCGAATTGAGCACAAAGGCACAACATGCTCAAAAGTACAGAAGTAAAGGGTGTACCGATTAAAATTCCCATACACCAAATCAAAATTCGTGTTTTTATCCGATTATCACCAAATTTTCAGGGAAACACTTAAAGTTAGTTTTGACATCATTAATTTAATTTACTTCGCCTTTATATCCAAATGCACAAATCTTGGCACTAACCCCAGCCATAAGGCTCTGCACAACCTCAGAATCAACAGTTTTTTTTGCATACTAACCCATGCTTTCTTCATTTCATTTACATTCTTCACCACTTTAGGTGCTCCTTCATAATAGCCCAGTATTTTTCTATTGCGCTGTTCCGGAGTGTTTGGGGGTTCCGATCTTTCGGCACGAAATCGACATCATTCGCCTTACACCACTCTAGCACGTCCTTCGACGATTCGATGCCAAATCCGACCAGAAGATCGTCGGACCGTCGTGAGCCTTCAGGAGAGGGAGAAACCGATTTTGGAGACACTCTTCCAAATACACCTGTCCATTCATGGTGCTTGCGGTAACGAAAGGCGTACTCCGCTTTCCGCGAGTACAAATCACTTGCCAAATTAAGAACTTCTTGGTGAACTTCGATATCTTCTGCGTCCGGAAGTTCTCGGGAACATCACACTTATCCTTGGCAGTAACATATAGGTTTCCTGGAATCTGGTTAAAGTCGCCTCACATATGTCTCGTCATCCATTACGCAGCAGTGTGGTTTCGTTAACTTCTGGTCGTACAACTTCCAGATACGGCTTTTTGCGACCGTATTCTGTTTCTCGTCACGGTTTGGGAACTTTTGAACCTTAAACGTACGTAGTACAACTAGAGTTTTGGTGTTCTGCGCGAACGTCTTGCTCACATGTAACTTTTTAGCCACATCGCGAACTGAGGCATTCGGTTTCCGTTTAAAGGCCCCAACCACTGACGGATTCTTTTTCAGATCTTCACTTCCAATCAACAGTCAGACGTATTTCGAACCGTTTTATGATACCAGATACCGTGGAATTCACGATTCCCAGCTTTTTGCCGATGGCAAGATGCGACAGATCCTTTTTCTCAAAGTACTCGTGCAAAACTTTTTCACGCACGCACTGTTCTTTCGTCGCCATTTTGAAAAATTTTACGCACCTGATGAAATCAACTCACAGAGTGTAAACAATACACATTAAATTATGTCTACGCAAAATGTCAATTAATTTTACCCAACGGATCAAAAGTTAGAGCAATTTGAGTGTGTGCGGATATTAAAAGGTACACCCTTTATAAAAGGTCCTGAATGAATTTGTATAGTAGAAATCCAAATTGGTACACTGTTTTAAGTTCTACAATAGATTTACTTCAATCTTAACTTCCAATTTCTAACTCACTTTTTCGTCGGTCACCACCCATCTGTACTCGATCATCCTCCTCCGGTTTTCCTACCACAGTTGATTTTTACACCACCCATTCAAATTTAAGTTAGTTTTTTTTACTTGGTTTGTTTTCCGTCGATCTTGTTTTCCGTACTGAGTACCAATGATACTATGCTATCACAGAATAGAAGTGGAACTTCAAATCAGAAAGTGGCTCCACTATTCATTGGCGAACACTAGTGCACCTAGCGGTAGAAGGCATCTTATGCCTGCAGTTAAGACAGGCAGCAAGCTATGATAGTGTGAGTGCGCATAGAAAGCCCGTGAAAAGAAGAAAAACGCACCACTTTTTGATCCACAGATTTATTTGCATTTGTTCTGTTCTGTGATGCTATGGAATCTTTAGGACATTAATTCAGCATATCGTTTACCAAAACGAATCCTGCTGCAATCCCAATCCTTTTATCCAACATTCCAGTGATTTCTCGTGGAAGTGCAGAGGTGTTCTCGGCTTTCATTAAAGCGATTATTACGTCAACATTTTCATACCCATTCCCTTCTTGACTAGCATTTGGACATGGCCTGCGCTTGTATTGCCTAATTTTAAATCACCACTTTACACATTTAGGATGAATGCTAGTTCCAAGCACCGTCTATAAGTTCTCTGTGTAATTACAACTAATCTGGCAATTCGGGTTGTCAGTCACGCTCATGTAACCGATTAAAAACAGTTGATTTTTCTGTTCGTTAATCGATTAATCGATTATTCGAATAAAAATCGGACACCACTAGATGAATGTGAAACATCTTTTAAAATAGAAGGGCCGTTCATAAATAATGAACAAATAACAACTTGAAAGTGACTGGGTTAATCAAAAATTACTTTCCCACGGTAACTGAAAAAACATGAGTGCTGACCGGTTAAACTGTATGTTTTTAATCTGTCAGTTGCCAACTCCGGAATAATTTTAGATTAAGGTGCATCTGAGTTATCGATAAACTTTTTTTCCTTGATTTGTTTTCCGTCGATCTTGTTTTCCGTGTTAAGCACCAATGCTAGCGACGCCAGAGAGGCAGCTCGCACACCTGGACCCTACCTATCGACCCATCAACTCATGAACCGGGGACCAACGGCTTTACTTCCCATCCGAAGAAAGCGTGATAAGTTATCGACTAAAATCAATGTTATGTAGATAGGGTTAACTATCCCATTTCCGGCCTACTAAGCCCAACCCGCACTTAGGCTTTCTTAATCTAGCGCAGTTTAGCACCAAACAGAATGTTATTGTGATGGCTTCCAAATTTATTTACCTGTCCGAACGTACGTAAGATTTGATAAAGACAAACCAATCGTTGAGATATTGTTAAAATTGTAACACTGCTTCTTGACGCCAAACTCGCCCTACGGATTCTAAACTCGGCCTAACGCATTGAAATGCCATTGAAACGCCAATGCACACCAACCTGGTCTATACAAGGTGTGGAGATCTTTCCCTGACGTTTGTGTTGGAAGGGGGAAAAATGTAAACTTTGCGGGAGACGATGGTGAAAATTTGCGAATTAAGAAGTAAAACAAATCCTAGTTATTTTTGCATGATGATTTTGCTTGATTGTATTCCTTGGGAAGTCGCCGGGAAATATCAGCTGGCGATTTATATTTTTATGATAACTCCTTACTTGAAAAGAGGCAAAAACTCACAAACAGGCTGCTTTTCATGGTATACAGTGTGATAATTCAATAATCAATAAATTAAATCTACCTTTAGGGCAAACCATTCAAAAATTTTGGTACCATACATAACTTCTATAATCCATATTAAATTTCTTATGCAAGCGCCGATCGCAACAAACGTTACGACGTCACTACAAGGGTGAATGAGTGAACGATAGAAACGAATCGTGCGAAACGAAATGAAAGCCGAGTGAAAAACGAAGTGCACCAATACATTTAGGCCTACAATTCCACACCTTGTATATACCAGGTTGAATGCACACTGGGCCAGGGATGCAATCTAGCGGAGCAAAATTAATAACTCCGAAATGAAACATTTCCGTATCTTCAAACTTCTCCTTGGGACGGCCAAAGGGTGTCGATTGATTTGATGATATTTTAAATGTTATGCGAGAGTTGATCCACGTCGAAAATTTTTGAAGAATAACGATTTCCTTTCAATGTCATTGGCAAGAGTTCTGAGTACTGGAGGAATATCTTTGTTATCGCCTTCGCTTCGGAACTTCTGTTTTAAAGCAATTAACGTTTGACCCACGTTTTTTTCCGTCTAAAGTCAGATCGACAAACTCCCGACAAAAGATCGCACGTTCTGAAAGATTTTCTATAGTTATTCATATGCGTCAAAATGTTTAAATTATAAAATATTACAAAATTGAACAACCTACATCATTATGCATTGATTTTCATGGCATACTTCATGCAAGTTAGGGAGGCTGCTGCTAATTTTTCGTGCATTTCAACTCAACATATAGGGGAAATGGATATAATGTCGGCCTAAATGCCTCTAATTCGGGCCCATACATAAATTCAGCAATCGACAAATATTTCAATAGCGACCAAAAATATGCATTAGTACCCCAATGACGCGTTCATCTAGATAAAATGGGCGATGGGCCCAATCTTAGATCTATAGGCCAACGGCCGACATTTCCACAACATTTTTTTTCTTAAATTCTATTTAAGTCGGAAACAGTAGGCTGTGGAGTTTTGACGTCTTTAAAAGAGTTGTTGTATTTTATCAAGATAAAAACCTTGCCAAAGACGTCAAGTCTTCAAAACGCCATTTCAATGCATTAAAAAAACTTTAGAAAAAAAACATATTCCACTAAAATGAAGAAATCTCAAAAACACCGAAGTGTACTTCTCTCAAATTTTGAAAATTTGTTTTTAGAGTATTGTTTATTTTTTGCTAAAAATGTCAGGTTACGATCTTCTGGATGTTTTCTTGCTTCAAAAAATATTTGAAACAGTTGGCGAGAAAAATTAGGTTTTCTACTTAGAAGAGCAGGCGGAAATACTATTGAAAAGAATAGTGTTTCTCATAAATTTTTGCATTTTTTGCTTCAAAATGCTGTATCTAAGGAAATACGCAAATGACTTTTTGCTGAAAAAATATGTCCGTCGCGAGTTTTGGTGGTGGTATGGTGGCCGACGTCGCCGTGAATCAGCAAGTTTACGGCTTGAAAAAGTGCTCGTCTGCTAGTCTCTTGCAAGTGTCGAAGATTGTGAGCAAACTAAAGGATGCCTCGCTGGATACGCCCAAGACTAAACGGGCGGTAGCTGGTGGCCGTGAACGGTTCCTGGGAAAAGCACTAGACGCGAACCTCTTCCCAGATGACCAGATGGCAATGCAAGAAAACTTGTTTTCGTTGAAGGAATTATTACAAAAAAGGTAATTGCTATTAGATATTTTTGCAAACAGTGACAGATAGCAGACAGGAAGCTCAAGTGGAGGTGCCGGGCAAATGTGTTATATCCTATACAAATGGTAAGTTACAAATTCGCTGCTATCGTCGTCGTAGGCACCGTCGTAGGCGCTGTCGTAGTCGCCGTAGGCAGTACCGTTAGTATATTTTGTTAGTTATTCATTACATACCAAATGTAAACTTAATCATATGTTGCCGTGTAGTGTTGAGATTTTGAGATGCTCGATAACCCTAGAGGAACAACGGCGCCGGTGGTGTAGTGGTAAGCGTGATTACTTCTCACCCCAGCAGGCCTGGGTTCAATCCCAGTCGGCGCCGCCGGGATGTTCTGAGGCATAACATCTCTGATCACGCCTTCCTTCGGAAGGGAAGTAAAGCCGTTGGTCCCCGGTTCATGAGTTGATGGGTCGATAGGTAGGGTCCAGGTGTGGGAGCTGCCTTCCTGGCGCGTCGGTAGCATTGGTGCTCAGCACGGAAAACAAGATCGACGGTAAACAAACCAAAGGAAAAAAAAAAAAAAAACACTAGAGGAATGAGCATAATGAGCAGAATTTCATGGGTTTAATCCCAAGCTCTTCCACAACAGAATAAACCACCAGCGTTGGATTCCGAGAGTATAAAGCGCAGTTAATAACCAATAGTTGAATTGTTTAAACTATGAGTTTCGGAAAAGGTGTATGCGTGATCTAGTTTGGAAGACATTGTTAGCTGTTTTCAGAGACGTCGATTCATTTGAATAGCTTTTTGTTAAGTCGCTCGTAGATTGTGGTAATGTAAGGGACACGGTGGCTATAGAGCAACCATTTTTGCTTATTGAGTAAAAGATCATGGGTTAAAACCCAAGTCTCATTACATTACTGAGTTAATCTATCATCCAGGCCACTATTGTAGAAAATTGTTAATAACAGAAATTCGAGGAACGATTCAGAAGAATAATAAGTATATTTAGACCAATGCGATGTACGCCTGATTCGGTTCGGAAGACATTGTTAACTACTTTGGAGGATTTAATTTCATTGTAATGGCTTCTTGTAACCGATATTGAACGATCGTCGGTCGTAGCTTGTTGTAATGTAAGGGGCACAGTGGAGCAGAAGATCGCGAGTTAGAATCCAAGCTCCTTTAAGTTACTGAGTTGATAGGGTCGCGTCATTTGCTTAACAGCCTTTAAAAGATCGCATCACTTCCCAATGTGAATCGAGATCTAATTTACCCTTCTCACTAACAAAACCGTCCTTCCCGTGACAACTGTGGAGATGCAGAGGTTTACTCGGTCTCTAGTAGCAACGGTTGTTGAAATAACTATCGTTTCCCTTGCCCCGATGACCATAAGGACGTGTCCGGCGCCGTTATTGACATCAAAAATATGGATTCTCCGGATTTTGTACACTGAGAATGGATTGCTAGTCCCAAGCCCCATTCATACAATAGATGGTTCTTATTATGATGAGGAGCTTTGCCGAAGATACCGCTAGATTGCATTCCTGCCCCGGTGTGCCATGAATTCACTTCGGCCGATCGGATGAAGATAAAGATTGATTTGGTTAGAGCGCTTCATTTGTATTTGAGAATATTGGGTGCAAAAATTCATATCACGCGTTCTTATTGACTTCGTTCGGTTGCATTTGAACTAAAGTATTGTACCAAACGCAAAATTTACCTGTTAACACCGAAATTGATTTATTTGATGTTTTCTGCTTGATAGGCCCAAAATGGGCACTTATGCCGAAGTAGTTCTGTACTCTATTTGCTCATTGATACCACCGTAGCTAGCGTACCAGCCAGCGTGTGTAGTTAAAGATTGCTGTGGTGGCAGAATGAACTACAGTAACCCTTCCATATATGTGGTGGGTGGTACCGTCCACCCACCGATTTTATCGACTGTTTTGAACCAATTGAGCTGATTTTCTGTAGATAACTAGTTTATGGTTGATACTAATCAGCGTGATTATTTGAAGGACAGCCGAGAAAAAGCGGAGGGTGGACGTCACCTGGGTGGTGTATGTATGCACATGTATGGAGGGGCTACTGTATATAGGTTTCGCTGAGAAGCTGACGCATTATGTTTTGCTATTGCTTTTCTTCAGCGAACTAAACGACTGTATGTTTTGAAATTCGTTTGATTATTGTGTGAGTTGCATGTGTCGAGAGGTGGGTGAAATCGCCCCGTTAAGGCCTTAATGACACTGTGAGTATAATTTTTACACTGGAAACGCATGGATCATGAGAACCGCGATTGCATTCCGATTTTTGACCATCAGCGTTCTCGGAGGTAAGTGGTGCTTCAGTATTCCTCGTAATAACAGCGGTGGCTGATTTCTTGCAGATAGTAATCAAGTCTTCACCATTGAAATATGTATAATTGAATTTTAATGTTCACGATGTGATCGAAATGTGTCCTACTCATCAATATCCGGTAAAAACTGTAGTCGTCATTTTGTCAGTGCAGTTTACAGTAACGTTTTCAAGTGCATATTGGCTGTATGGGTTTACTTAAGTTGAGAAAAATCTATATTTTAGTGTTAATAAACGATTTGGTTGATAGTTATTTCCTTAAATAACCACTTGTTGGTCCATTGACAAATCTCATTAACAATACTACTTACGCATCGTCGTTTCTTGTGCGAGAAACAGATAATGTGGGGAAAATTATAAATCTTTCGCAAGCAGACGTCAGCTCAGTAACTGAATTGTAACCCTAATATTGTGGATTTCAACTCAATTCTCAATCGGTTCTTAAGTGACTTTTCCAGAATGGAGATCACCCAGGTGCTTTCGTGCATAGTAGTTGGTTTGACTGTGGTTGTGTATCTTGCTCATAAATGGAAATACAGAAACATCAGAGCCATTCCCGGTGCCGAGCCCGATTATCCTTTGCTGGGAAATATACCGCTGCTATGGAAGAAGGAGAATGCCTACCAGAAAATTTTCCAAACCGAGTATCGCATGTCAAAAATATGGTTGGGCCCCGTGCCGCTCATCAACGTGCAACACCCAGAGCTGGTGCAGAAAGTGTTGACCGAATGTCTCGATAAACCATTCCCGTACGATTTTCTGGAGCTCAAATTTGGATTGCTATCTCAACGAAGTGAGTGAAACGATCGGTATTTTTTTATTCAACAATTTATTATTGTGTTGCTTTATTATTTTTAGATAGCAACGTATGGCGGGAGCATCGGAAAACGTTAAGTCCTCTTTTTAACTCCAAAATTCTAAACAGCTTCATCCCCGTATTTGAAAGGGCGACCAACGACATTCTGAAGCGGCTGGAAAAGGTATCTGATGGAAGAGATTTTGATGTGTTAGAGTATACCAGTTACTGCACTGCCCAGATGGTATACGGCACGATGGTGAAGAATGAAGATGTGTCGGAGGAGAAATATCACTCGGTGACTAGGAATTTGGAGATGTAAGTTGTCAATTTTAGGAATTTAGGTATGTTATGTGAAGTCTTGTATTTCCAACACCCTTTTTCTTCTTAAATTACCTTATCTATTGCACTTATGTGAGGTCTTAACCTTCTTTACGCGTTAATATTGTGTGGCGAATAAGGTGTTAAAGGGTCATATTGACCCATAATTTAGACTGAATTTGGACAAATCTTTCGTAATCAAACCTATAAGTTTTTTTTTTTTATATTGAAATAGTTTGCCAGAGTCTGATATTGACTTTCTGGTAAGTATAACCGATTTTAATACAATTAACGACTAGGCATCGATGCAAAATTAAGTCAGTATTGGCCACAGCTGCGATATGTTGGTCGCTTATCAAATATCGTAAGTTAGGAAATGGGTCAAAATGCATCAAAATAGTAAAATCAATAACTCACTTAGGATGGATGTTCCGGATACCGGATCCAGTGGCCACAATCATCTTTCTCACAAGAATGGTGATGGGGCATATCAAATAGGCTGCTCGCTAACCTGGCCTTCTAAAAAGCTTCCGTAGTAGGCAAAGTTGTTCAGGACTCTAACGGTTTCCCAAAGATAGACATACTAGTACCATGCAGTGCCAAAATTGTGATCGGAAGGTTTCAATCACCTGAACTACTTTTCACAAGACAGCAACTTTATAGATTATCAAGATATCAATATTTAGCTCATACACGTGGTTCACGAGCACACCATTTAGAAGGTCTTGGGTAGCTGAATAACTATCGCGAAGACGGAAACTTCCTATGTGATCAAGATTTTAAGATATAGATTATACAGGAAACTGACTAGCACATTAACACCGTGGTGAGAAATTCTGAACTGCTGTTTACCCACTGTACAACTTTGCCGAAGACAGTTACATTCTTTGTGGCCAAAAGCATGACATATTCCATGTGATCATCTTACCACTTGATTAGCTTGTACTTATTTTGTTTCATCATAAAATATTATCTTATTAAAATTAAATATTCCTAAGTTCAGTATAATAATGGAACGCTCTAAAGATCAATATTGATATATTATACCTATTGCTGCAATTTTGTATGGATTTGGTTGAATTGTACTTAAGGCTTAAGGTGGCTATCTTACTCCGTCCACGGTTGAACTCCTCTTCTTCTTTATCTACCCAGATCTAAGGTTCCTTTTCTGAAAACAACTATCACAAATCTGAGCTTATGTTTGGAATAGACAAGCTCAGGTAGTTTAACCCTCCGTTACTCGCGCTGTTGTACTTTGTACAACACACATGAGTTTTCCATTGCCATTTTGTTGCTGAGCTACTAATCGATCTGAAACCAACGAGTATTCCTCAAAAAACTGATTTTGATCTAAACAAGCTAAACTTTGATTACAGTAAACACCTAAAAATGCGGATAATAGGGAAAATGTAAATGGAAACCGCGTAAACTGTGACCATACTACGTGGGATTTGACTTAATTTATTACAACATGGAATGTATCGAGATCCTGACCAGATAGAAAGTTACTGTCTCCAACAAAGTTGTTCAGGAGATCATAGCCACGTCGCTGGTGGACAGTAGTTCATAATTGTTCCACTACGTAGCGCTAGTATACATGTGAAATTCTTGCATGTGATATATTCAGATAGAAAGATACTGTCTTTCACAAAGTTTTTCAGGAGGTCAAAGCCTATTGCTTGGTGCTCAATAGTTCAGAATTTGCTCACTACGCGACGCTAGTCTACACGTGAAATTCTCATAAAATATCACGAGTTCCCGACCAGATAGAAAGGTACTCTCTTTTTTCATAGTTGTTCAGGAGGTCAAGGCCTTTTCGCAGGTGGACAGTATTTCAGAGTTTTCTTACTTCATGGCGCTACTATACATGTAAAGTTCTCGCATATAAAATATATCTAGATCCTAACCAGATAGAAAGTAAATGTATTGGGCAAAGTTCTTCAGGAAGTCAAGATCTTTCTGTTGGGTGACAATAGTTCAGAATTTGCTCACTATGCGGCGCTAGTATATACGTGCCTTTCTCGCATATTCAGCTCGAGATCTTGATCAGCTAGAAAGTTGCTGTCTTCGGCAAAGTTGTTTAGGGGGTCAAGACTTTTTGGCGTGTAGACAGTAGTTAAGAATTTTCTCACCACGTGGCAATTTTTTCGCTGAGATCCAGCAAAATAAAATTCCGACCTGCTTGGTGGTGCCCATCTCGGCAAAAAAAATCTAAGTGTGTAGGTACATCCAAAGTCATAAACAAAAAGGCCTGATAATATGAAATTATCATCCCTTTCATTATACCGCTATTCCTACGCAGCTAGGAGTGTGACGTCGAATTTATGGTTACATACAACTTATCCTAAATCTAAACGAGAAGAATCTACTCAGTTCGTCTAAAATGTGTAATGTAATGTAAAATGTATAAAATATATACACACGAGTTAGCCAGTCGAGTCATAGAACTATCTCAGTCGTGAGATTGCTTTACTCAGTTGTCTGGAGAAATTTCCAAAAGCGTAGATCATTCAGCGCTGAGTAACCTACACTCCCGATCATAAGCTTAAATACATCCCCAAAATACATGCAAATGTGTTTTGTTCAAGCTCTCTCATTTTAGGTCCAATTTTTGATCTCCTTAGGTTATTTGAATGGTATGAATGGTACATAACATAACATAACACATTTGCATGTTTTTGGGGTGTCCTTAAACTTATAATCGGGAGTGTACGGTTTTATCGATTTCTCCATTCAACTGAGCAAAAGTGCCTCACTCTCTGAGTTAGTCTCGTTTTCCCTGCACACGTAAATACAGGGATTTTTTTTTTGTTCTAGACCCCTCGATAAGACATTTTGAAATTAGCCTAAAATGAAAGGGAGACTCTAAACATTCATTTGGTGGAAGTTTCAGCGATATTGATCTTTTAAGATAATGTTTTCCATCTGAGATACGTGTTACCACTAATTTATAAGAGGTATACAAGTGGAACGACTCACCCCAATTTATGTATCCACAAATCTGCATGAAAATCATCACCAGTAAAAGAAATCCAGAATACATTTGTCTTATCCCACTAAGGCTGATGAAAATTGTATTTTTATTTTATGGTATTTGATATGCGAGAATTGCCCACCAAGTTTTGAGAAATTTCTGAACTACTTTTCATCAGCCAAAAGATCTTTATCTCCTTAACAGCTTTGCCAAAAACAGTAAATATCTAGCTGTTCAGGATCTCGACATATTATTTATGCGAAGATTTCACGTATATCCTAGCGCCGCGTAGTGAGAAAATTCTGTACTGTCGACCAACGAAAAAGTTTTGATCTGCTGAACAACTTTGCCGATGACTGTTTAGCAGGTCTCGAAATATATCTAATGTTAGAATTGCACGTGTATACAAGCGGAATGATGTGAAAAAAAATGAATTTCTGTCCACCAGGCAAAAGGCCTTGGCTCCCTGAACAACTTTTCCCAAGACAGTAACTTTCTACCTGGTCAGGATCTCGAAACAAACCACATGTGAGAATTTCACGTGTATACTAGAGCTACATAGTGAGAAAATTTTGAACTACTTTTCACTAGCGAAAAAGTTATGACCTCTTGAACAACTTTGTCGACGACAGTAACTTTTTATCTGAGCAGAATCTCGAGATATTTTACATGCGAGCATTTCGCGTGTATACTAAAGCCACGTAGTGTGAAAATTCTGAACTATTGTGCACCAAGCAATAGGCATTGACCTCATGAACAACTTTTTCGAAGACAGTAATTTTCTACCTGTTCAGGATCTCGAGCTACAGCATAAATACGCGAGAATTGTACACGTTTACTATCGCCACGTGGTGAGAAAATTCTGGGCTACTGTCCACCAGCGGAAAGTCTTGACCCCCTGAACAAGTTTGCCGGAAAACAGTAACTTTCTATCTGCTCAGGATATCGAGCTATTGTATATGCGAGAATTGTATGTGTATACTAGCACCGCGTAGTGAGAAAATTCTAAACAACTGCCTACGAACGAAAAGATCTTGACTTCCTGAACAACTTTGCCAAAGACATTTACTCTCTATTCGGTCAGGATCTAGTTATGTATCACATGCGAGAACTTAACATGTATACAAGCGCTACCTAGTGAGAAGATTCTGAAATACTGTTCACCAGCGAAAAGTTTATGATCTTCTGAACAGCTTTGCCGAAGACAGTAATTTTCTATCTGGTCAGGATAGAGATATTAAATATGAGAATTTCACGTGTAAACTACCGCCACGTAGTGAGAAAATTCTGAACTACTGTCCACCAGCCAAAAAGTCTTGACTACCTGAACAAGTTTGCCGAAGACAGTAACTTTCTATCTGCTCAGGATCTCGAGCTATTGTATATGCGTAAATTGCACGTATATACTAGCGCCACGTAGTGAGAATTTTTTGAACAACTCTCCACCAGCAAAAAGGTTATGATCTCTAGAACAACTTTGCCGAAGACAGTAACTTTCTATCTGGTCAGGATCTCGAGATTTTCCAAGTCAAATCCCACGTAGTACGGACACCGTTTACGCGGTTTCCATTCACATTTTCTCGATTATCCGCATTTTTTGTTGGTTAACTGTGGTAAAAGTTTAACATGTTTAGTTAAAAACAAGTTTTTTAAGGAATACCCGTTGGCTTCAAATCAATTGGTAGCTCGGCTGCAAAATGGCAGTGGAAAACTCACACTGTAGTACAAAGTACAACGCGCGAGAACTCGTGTTACAAAAGTTGGCGCGAGTAACGGAGGGTTAACTTTCCCTATGAACTGTTGTGGTTGATTTAGATCTTCCGGTTTTGGTTTTATAACAAAATCAAACTACTAAAAGTCAGACATTATTTGTAATGCCATGGAAAAGAAGTTTTTGGATACCAAATCAACGATTTCCATTTAATAAGTGCGTAATTTTGTAAACTGCTTTGTTCCAGCATTCTGGGTGCGGTGGGGAAACGAATCATGAATGGTGTGTATGCTCTGAAAACTTTGTACAAAATGAGTGCACTATACCGAGAAGAATGGCGCTCCAGAAAGATATGCTACGAAACGGTGAATGATGTAAGGCACCAAAGTGACAAGCAGCAGTGACCCAGAAAGATCAATTACGCTCGGTATCTGTTTTCTAGGGCATCATGCAAATCCGAATGAATATCCTCAGCGAGCAGAGTGCACCCGCTGCAGCTGACAGAGAGGACCCATCAAAGTCGAAAGCCTTCGTCGAACGATTGCTCACCATTCAGCATAAAGGGCGTAGCTTCACTGACGAGGAAATTATCAATCATGCTTACACGATGTTGGTTGCTGTGAGATACGATTGATTAGTGATTTAGTTTCAACTTTTTACCACTGTGTTCCGTTTCAGGGTTACGAAACATCAGCTTTGCAACTGGCGAATACCTGTATGATGTTAGCGATGCATCCGGAAATACAGGAAAAAATCGTCCATGAGATCAAGACGGTGTTTCCAAAACCAGACTCTGCAGTCACACCGGAAGCGCTCAAAGATCTTCCATATCTGGACATGACAATAAATGAAACTATGCGGCTCTATCCGGTGGTACCGCTAATTGCACGACAAAGCTCCAGTTCTCTCGAATTGGATGGAGTGCATATTCCCAAGGGAACGTGCTTCATCGTGAACATTGGTGCAATTCACAGGCGGAAGGAGGTCTGGGGAGCGAATCCGCTTGAATTCAATCCAGAAAACTTTCTACCCGAGCGAGCCGTGAACCGACATCCGTACGCCTTCATTCCGCTCAGTGCCGGTCCTAGAAGCTGTCTTGGCTACCGGTACGCTATGATTTCGCTGAAGGTCGTTCTAATCCGCCTATTACAACAGTATCGATTGAGCACCAAATTGACTCGAAAAGATTTAAAGTTCAAATTTCAAGTCACTTTGAAGCTCAAAATACCGTATACGATACAAATAGAGAGTAGGAATCTATACGAGGAACGAGCAGGAGCTGGAGCCTCGGCGTTATTTTGATATGATTGTCATTTAAGCTGTTGGAGGATTTAGCAAATTTGGCAATAAAACAGACATAAAATTCAGCTTAATAGGGTTTGTTTTCACCACTGCATTTTTTTATTCCAATTATTTGCATTGAAATGAACCATTGAAAGTTAGTCAAAGAGATCTATCACATGGCATGGATTTCATAATCGATTATGACTGTTAATATTAGGTTCGGAAATGTTCAACCTTAGTTGAAACAATTAAATTTCTCAAAACTCCAAGCATTTGAAATCAAACTAATCGCATTTCATGGTTTACAACTTTCTCTTGCAACATGTTGACGAGTTTTTAGTACATTCGTAGCTAGAACGATTTTTTTCGGAAGAGTGTTCAAAACGAACTAAAAAAAAATTTCAAGCAAATTTGCTCATAAACCATATGTCTAGTGCCTGATTTGATCACTTTTCGGTTTTTATGAGGGTGTATCTAAAAAAAATAATGTTTTCTCTGATTTGTGCCTTCCTCAAAATTGGTCTTTGCTCGCTTTCTACTCTCTATATACAATCTTCGCACTGCCGTTTTCTAACAGCACTATTTACTCTATACCTTCATCTCCTCTGCTATCGTATAAAATGACAACTTTAAGTCTGATATTTGACGTTAAGCATGTTCAACTAAGTAAGTCGTTAACTTCACGCATGGAGTAACACAAGTTTTTTTTTTGATTCTAAGTTTTTTGTTTAACAAAAGTTGCGTAAGAAAGACTTCTAGATCAAGTATCAGCTTAAGTTTTTACAAAAGGCAGCAAGTTATGCGATACGTAACACTAACCATGTAAAATTAAAGGAAACGGAGTAAATAACTATTTTTCACTAAATGGATGTTTCGGACCGCATTGCAATGAAGTAAAAGTTCGCAAACTTAACGACAGTTTTAGAGAAGTTTGCACTACAAATCTTTAAATACCCCATGATGGTGTGAAGGATATAAAGAAACCACATGTTTGTGCGCAGATATTGCCAGTACTTGGTGATAGTGTTTTTTTTTCACAATTAATACAGTAAGTTCGCAATTTGGTAAAAATGTATAATGTATCATCCCGAAGCACACGTTTGCCTATAATTCTTCGAAAACGTCTCCAATTTTTGTTGTTTTTTTGGGGAAAAGTCTGGCTCTAATATACCTTCCAAACAAGTACCAAAACAATGAGTTTTATGTTGCACAGGCGTCGAAAACCTCAAAATGAACTTTCTCCCCACTACAATGTTTGCCCTACATTACTCTAATGGTCATCAAATACATTAAGCAGATAATCAAGTGTCTTGCCGCTTAGTATCACTTGGGATCAGTGATATTTCCTCGCATAACAACAAATCAAATCATGCATCGTATTATACACCTGGGAACCTATCTACAATCGCAGGGAAATTAGAACAACATCAACTAAGGAAGGGGCAGGGAATATGATGAGGAAACTTTGTTCGGCAATACAGATTAAGGTAAAGCTCATATGAAAACTAATGGAAATATAATTAAATTAAAAAAAGGAATGGTCTCCCTTAAATGATCTGCAACAAGCCTGCCATTTCATGTTTTCGGATCTATTTTATTGCTGTTTCACCAATACCATGCACCACGCTTCCCTCTCACCATTAACCCATAGACACGACCCGATAAAGGCCCGAATAATCACGCCACATCATACCAACCACAAAACTTTCCCTAAATGCTATTTGGTAGCATATCGCCACCAACCGAAACTCACAAAAGTAGCTCTATTTCAGAATACCATATGTATACAAGCGTACATACAACACCGTCTCCTCCCTCACTCCACAGTAATTTACTTTTATTACCACAGTGCCTGTCAGTGGGAAAACAGTGCCGGCCTTACTACAAGGGATCAACTCCTACCACTGCGCGCTATTAATTGCAAGTCACAATTACATCGAACACTAACCAATTTCTCAACCAATTTTGCGTGACTGGCACTCTCAACCCGTGTATCAAACTGCCGAGCCTCGCCGATTTTTTTCCCTTAAACACATATCAGCCAACTGAACCGCAGATCTTGTGCGATCGAGGTTTTAATTGGGTAACAAAAGTGAATGCACTAACAACTCGGAAGCAGAAAGTATGCAAGAAAACTAATTAATCATTTCAACTGGCCTTTTCCACAGAGATGGCGCTGATCCTCTGGTAGGAAGCGATAAAAATCTCCATATAGATTTTTTTTTTCCTTTGGTTTGTTTTCCGTCGATCTTGTTTTCCGTGCTGAGCACCAATGCTACCGACGCCAGGAAGGCAGCTTCCACACCTGGACTCTACCTGTCGACCCATCAACTCATGAACCGGGGACCAACGGCTTTACTTTCCTTCCGAAGGAAGGCGTGATCAGAGATGTTATGCCTCAGAACATCTCGGCGACGCCGACTGGGATTGAACCCAGGCCTGCTGGGGTGAGAGGTAATCACGCTTACCACTACACCACCGGCGCCGCTATATAGAAGTGGTAATAATTTGCTTTCGGTGCAAATTCAGGTCAAAAAAGTGAACGGAATCCTAAATAAATTAGTCAGGGACATTGTCGTTAATTTTTTTCTCGGAAATAATTTTTAAACAAGCTACAATTAAATAAAAAAAAAATATTTTTTCCCTTACAGTTATACCTGTTACGTTATGATTTTTGACGACAACGCCAAGTCAATTGCTTAAGATCAAAGTGGAATTATTAGGTGGTTCTGTGCGTCACAATATCAGCTTCAATCGACCAAATCGATGCGACGAAGAGACTGCTGGCTTTCTTTTTTTGTTAAAGTCGAACAGCTTCGCAGCATCTAGAACCTCAGTCGGCGTGCACAAACAAATATTCAATCGCTTGTATCCCTTTCTCCCGTCTCTCCATTGGTCTTCCTTTCAAGGTTCGGTGAACCGGATGAGCGAAAAAGCGCTCGATTGTGATAGTTTTCTCTTTCATGAAACACATCAACAGAAGTATTATGACGTATATGACGGAAAATGAAATTACATATTTAAAGCATTTCTCACGTGAAAATACTTGAAGATTACACGTAATATGTTTAATTTATCTTCCATCCACATATTTATCTAAAAAAAAAAATTAACGAAAACGGGACATAACGCATTTTAAACAAATTGAAAGAGCGGTGATAGAGTGTTCGTGAAAGGGGATTGAAAGCCATAATGAGGTTTCGTTTAACTAGAAAATCGACGTTACTCACATTGAAACCGATGAGCAAAGCAACGACGAGAAGATCCACAGCCAGCGTTTCCTTCTAAGCGTGCTTCTTTTTCATTATCATTTCTTGCTGATAGTCTAGCTAGACGTTATAGAAATGAACACGTTTGTATGAGAGAAACAAATCTCGAGTTCATTTTAGAGCTTCGAAAATGTAGAGCCCTGGTTCTGTGTGCAATTACTTGACGATTGTTACGAGGATTACAGGTTAATTTCTAATGAATATTCTAAATAAATTCCGAGAAGAATGTAAAGAGAGTTCTTATGCGACTTTCAAAGAAATTCCGAGTGTATTGATAATTTCAAGAGAATGTATGTATGTATGTATGTATGTAAGGTAGCCACCATCCCTTCGAAGATCTTGTCTTGTATGCAGCTCCACTTAATAGCAAGATCAATTTGAGCTACCGATCTGAATTCACAATATCGCTGTATGAAGGGCCAAAAACGGTGGGGTGGACCCGTAAGCAGAGACACTTACGCGAAATCCACGGGAATTTAAGAATCTCCTTCCAACGATACGATCCAACAAATCGAATAACGCAATTCGCAATACTTATTAAGCTTCCTACAGGATGGTTTGTTAAGAAGGGCGCGTCAATCTCCATGAAACTGTTGGAGTAGAATTCACACCATCACAATCGAATCGGTAGGATAAAGAAAATGATAGTGTTTATTCCCTCCTAGACTCCGGTTGTCATACCACTCCAATCGTCCAGTTCCATGTCAAATGATACCCTGATGCTCCCTCCCAACCCAGTATTTATTTATATATATAGTAAACATATGTAATGGAGAAATGAAATATATCAGAACATTAAAATACGTAATAATGAAAATACATTTATATGGATAAAAAAAACTGGTATTCCGCAATGAAAATAATAATTATTTTACATACAATATGATGCAGCTCTATGTCTCCTCAGCTCCCAATAAGGAAGATGTAACCCTGAAATTTCCAGGTTATATTATGCAAATAAATATTTTTAGCTAGAATGATACTTGATATGTTTGTGTTGTGTTATGTTGTGGGAGAGCTTGGGATTAAACTCATGATGTTCTGCTCATTAAGCAAAACCGGTCCCTCTAAGGTTATCGAGCATCTCAAAACCAAAACACTAGATGGCAAAACATGATTAAGCCCTCACCTGGTATGTAATGAACAACAGAAATACGCGATAAATCATATGCCAAATGGTGTATCATTGGGCCTTATTACGGGTGTCACTACACGGTGATAAGAAAGTGATACTCAGAATAAGAGCCGTGATTACCGTACAAATCAAATGGAAATCACTTCACCGTGACGACAAGTGACAACTTTTCACCGTGATGTGACAACCGTAATAAGCCCCATTATAATATAAATCTGAAGACGTTCCATCATCGAAATGCTGAAAATGAACTTAGAGCATGAGCATGAGCAAAATTGATCGCCCGTGACTGCCAACACCAAAGAGCTGAAAACCAATTCAAACAAATCAAATCAACAGACAAAACCAGGTTGAAAGCTGTAAGAGTGAATCATTACAGTATAAATTTAGTGATGTTCCGTCATCAAAGAGCTGGAAGAAAACTTAAATAATTTAAATCAATAGATCCAGTCTGAATGAAGGCTGCAAAAAGAGAATAATTATACAGCAATGACCCCATTTTGTCAGCTAGCAAAGTATGTGTATCTTAAACATTCATCTTGAAGGAGGAAGGTATGAAATTACAATTATGTGGAATTATTGAAAAATAACAGTCTGATGCGCGGAGAGATTGACAGGATCGGGTCATAACTGTATTGTGAATATTAGGAAGATTTATCATCATCAAACTATTCTTGAATTGACCTGGAAGAATGCTTGTGAATAATTGTTATACAGATAAATTAAATTGATAAACTAAATGGTTCAAACAACAACTCCAGCCTGTAAAAAAGCTGAAAATAGGGAATCTTTACAATGTGGATCCCCGACGGTCTT